GCAAGAAATTTTAAGGATACTTAAATTCTTAAATTCTTTGAGCAGAGAAAAGACAAAACAAAAATAAAAAGACCAAAAGCAACAAAGAATAGAAAGGACCAGAGAACATCACCAGAAACACCAATTCAACAGGCAACATGGTGCTAAATTCATATCCTTCAGTACCCACTCTAAATGTCAATGGACTAAACGCTCCAATCAAAAGACACAGGGTGTATCAGCATGGATAAGAAAATAAGACCCATCTACATGCTGCTTACAAGAGACTCATTTTAGACCTCATATAAAGGCCATATGCAAAAGACCCACAGCTAATATCCTCCTCAATGGGGAAAAAGTGAGAACTTTCTCCCTAAGGTCAGGAACATGACAGGGATGTCCACTCTCTCCACTGTTATTCAACATAGGATTTAAAGTCCTAGCCTCAGCAATCAGACAACAGAAAGAAATAAAAGGCATCCAAATCAGCAAGGAGGAAGTCAAACCTTCACTCTTTGTAGACGACATGATACTCCTATGTGGAAAACCCAAAAGACTCTACCAAAAAACTGCTAGAACTGATACATGAATTCAGCAAAGCCACAGGATATAAAATCAATGTACAGAAATTGGTCGCATTTCTATACACCAATAATGAAGCAGCAGAAAGAGAAATCAAGGAATTGATCTCATTTACAATTGCACCAAACCATAAAATACCTAATAATAAACCTAACCAAAGAAGTGAAAAATCTATACACTGAAAACTATAGAAGGCTTATGAAAAAAAAAAGCTTTTTGAAGATGACACAAAAAAATGGAAAAACGTTCCATGCTCTTGGATTGGAAAAACAAATATTGTTAAAATGTCGATACTACCCAAAGAAATCTACATATCCAATGCAATCCTAACAAAATAACACAGCATTCTTCACAGAAGGCTAGAATAAACAATTCCAAAATTTGTATGGAACCAGAAAAGGCCCCGAATAGTCAAAGTAATGTTGAAAGAAAATCCAAAGCTGGAGGCATCACATTGCTGGCCTTCAAGATGTATTACAAAGCTGTAATCATCAAGACAATATGGTACTGGCAAAAAAAAACAAATACACAGAAAAATGGAACAGAATAGAGAACCCAGAAATGGACCCACAAACATATGGCCAACTAATCTTTGACAAAGCAGGAAAGAATATCCAATGGAATAAAGACAGCCTCTTCAGCAAGTGGTGCTGGGAAAACTGGACAGCAACATGCAGAAGAATGAACCTGGACCACTTTCTTACACCATACATAAAAAATAAACTCAAAATGGATCAAAGACCTAAACGTAAGACAGAAAGCCATCAAAATTCTGGAGAAGAAAACAGGCCACAATCTCTCTGACCTCAGTTGCAACAACTTCTTATTTGACATATCTCCAGAACCAAGGGAAACAAAAGCAAAAATGAACTATTGGAACCTCATCAAGATAAAAAGCTACTGCACAGCAAAGGAAATAACCAGCAAAACTAAAAGGCAACCAATGGAATGGGAGAAGATGTTTGCAAATGATATATCAGATAAAAGGTTAGTATCCAAAATCTATAAAGAACTTATCAAACTCAACAGCCAAAAAACAAATAATCTAGTGAAGAAATGGGCAGAAGACATGAATAGACATTTTTCCAAAGAAGACATCCAGATGGCTAACAGACACAAGGAAAGATGCTCAACATCACTCATCATCTGGGAAATACAAATCAAAACCACAAGGAGATACCAACTCACACCCATCATGATGAATGGCTAAAATTAACAACTCAGACAACAGATGTTGGCAAGGATGCAGACAAAGGGGAACCCTTTTGCACTGGTGCTGGGAATGCAAACTGGTGTAGCCCCTCTGGAAAACAGTATGGAGGTTCCTCAAAAAATTAAAAATAGAACTATCCTATGACCCAGCAGTTGTACTACTAGGTATTTATCCAAAGAATACAAAAATGCTAATTCTAAGTGGCACATGAACCCCATGTTTATAGCAATACTATCAACAATAGCCAAAGTATGGAAAGAGCCCAAACGTCCATCGACTGATGAATGGATAAAGAAGATGTGGTGTGTGTCTGTATATGTATGTGTATGTGTGTGTGTGTATGTGTGTATATATATACATGATGGAACATATATATATATACATATATATATATATATATGTATATATATATATGATGGAATAATACTTGGCAATCAAAAAGAATGAAATCTTGCCATTTACAATATGGATGGAACTGAAGTGTATTATACTAAATAAGTCAGTCAGAGAAAGACAAATATCTTAAGATTTACTCATATGTGGAATTTAAGAAACAAAACAGATGAACAGGGGAAGGGAAACAAAAATAATATAAAAACAGGGAGGGTGACAAACCATAAAAGACTCTTAAATACAGAGAACAAACTGGGGGCTACTGACAGGGTGTCAGGTGGAGGGATGAACTAAATGGGCGATGGATATTAAGGAGGGCACTTGTTGGGAGGAACACTGAGTGTTATATGTAAGTGATGAATCACAAAATTCTATTACTGAAATCATTATTACAGTATATGTAACTAACTTGGATTTAAATTTTAAAAATTAATTAATTAAAAATCAATATAGTAAACAGCTTATAAAGATAATGACCACATATCAAAATCAATTTAAAAAAATACTTTTCTCATGTAAGAGGCATTTATACCTTAGGATGAAATGCCCAATGAAAGTATCATACATGGAATCAAACAATTTAGGTCAAAGAAGACTAATGTGTTCTAGAGAAAAAGGTTCTAGTGGTGACAAAGACATCGAAGACAAAGATGCTGAATGTTCAAAGAAAGAGTAAAAAAAGAAAAAAGTACTTTAAAATTATTTCACATAAAATGTAGTTAGATTGTGAATGTTCAAAGAACTGAGAAGTAAAAAAGAAAAAAATTCATTTAATTACTTCACATAGTATATGGTTGTAAATGTATGGTGTAAATAAACTAAATTATATATAACTATAAAATTGACTTCTTTCATAAACATCTCTCAAAACTTTTAGGACCAAGTTGATCAAAAGCTTTGTATTACACCCTTTCCTTGGAAGAATGAGAAGAGCTTTGCATTTTGAAGTCAGGCATACATAATATTTGACTAAGTTTTCTTCAACACACTCAATAAGTGGCTATTGGTCTGAGCTGGTTTCTAAAACCATAGTATAATACTATAAAATTAAACAGTCATTATAAACAGTTATTGAGTATTGCAATGGATATTGACCCTTTTAATTTAAAAAAAAAATCCCTATATACTTAGGGAATGGCTTGGTGCACAGAAAAAGCACCTAAATGGGAATCAGGAAACAGATTCTGGTCCAGTATTGTCAGTAAGTAGCAGTGTAAGTCATTTATCAGCAAGTCATTTATCATATAAATCCCTCCTAATTCATTATAAAAAAAAATGGATATTAGTTCTAGGGCTCATTTCTAGAATCAAAGTTCTGTAATTTCAAAGACATGAAAGAAAATGGCCCCTGATTAAGGGGCCATAAAAATACCCATGATATTTAAAATGCTATACCTTGGGGTGGTTGGGGGGCTCAGTCAGCTGGTGAGTCAGGCCCGAGTCAGCCTCTGCGCTGACAACTCAGAGCCTGGAGCCTGCTTTGGATTCTGTGTCTCCCTCTCTCTCTCTCTGCCCCTACTCCACTCATACTCTGTGTCTCTGTCTCTCAAAAACAAACATTAAAAAATACAATAAAATTGTTTTGAAAAATCACTATATAACCTTGAGAAAAAAATATTTTGTGTGTGTACTTTTTATCTGCAATAGGTGACACAAAGCTTCACATTAGTTTCAGCTATATGACATAGTATAGCTATAGTATCTCTACATGCTATGCTATGCTCACAAGTGTAACTACCATCTGTCACCACAAAATGCTATTACAGTATCAATGACTATATTCTTGATGCTAAGTCTAAAAATAATAGTCTTGAAGGACTCTATCTACAAAAAATTATTCTTCATACAGATATATACAAATTGAAGATTGCATTAAATTAAACCATAAGGGACCTGAGTTAGAAGTTAAAATATCTTTAACATTAGGGAGTGTCAAACATCAGGAAAATCCTGACGGAAGTTTGTAAAATTCATGAGTATATTTATTAAAGGATAGAACCTTAATAAGGATATCTAGAATAAGTGTAGTCTGACCTGAAGGTGTATAGCCAGCCACAGATTCCTCGAATTTTTAATTCCACAGTATTATTTGACATTAAGTGTTTGCATAATAATTAAGGCTATCAGAACTTTCTTATGGTACAATGGGAAAAATAAAGTAGACTAAGTAGAAAATAGAAGCATATAAATTATTTCATAGCTGTCTCCTTTGGACAATGACACTAAAAAGATTAAGATGAAATTTTAAAATTCTCAAACCTATCATTTTTAACTAAAAACCTCAAAATTCCTGTGAAATAATATAACAGAGCAGAAAAATAGCAATGGAGATATCCCAGAATCATATGTTCAAGTTATTTTTCCCTGAAAGAACCCTAAGAACATTAAAATTTTAAAAAGGAACAAAATTTTGTTCATATACCAAACTTTAAAGTGTTTTTCCTTATGCCAATCAATACTAGGCATTTACCTTTTCATAAAGAAACAAAAGAAACAAAATTACATTTTGTCATCTTAATAATGAGGTTGGGGAAGTCAATTGAGTAAAATTAACAACACTTTAATATTTTATCTGGGGAAAGAAAATGAAACTATATATTTCCCAATATGCCCTTAGTCTAGATGATGCAATACTACATGTTTTAACACGCATGCAGAAACAATTATTTCCTATGTTAATCTTATGTAATGTAAATTATCCTAATCTTACTAGTATTAAGGTAATAGTGTTAATTACATCTTTATATTTTATATCATTTGAAAACTCAGATTGTTTACATACACCTCCATAGAGGAATAAACCATGTACCACCTAGGGTTTAAATGTACTTACAATTCCTTGTGTTTGTCTTCAGCCAAGATTTGGTCATTTGGTTTAAGAGAATACCTGTAACACAGAAACAAAAAAATACATCATATAAACATATAAGTACCTTTGCCTCATGGACATCTGACTGTGGTATCAACATACAATGAGTTAACTCCTATCAAATAAGCACTACTACACTGTTACAGTCCTCTGTCTTCATTGATAAAACATTGAAAAATGCCTAAGTTCTTTGTTGTTCTATTAGTCACTGCCACAGACACCATCCAAAGAACTGAAGTAGGATCAACCTGACCTTTGACAACACAAGGTATCGTCAATATTCTTCTGTAGTGAATAATCTGCAATGTTACATGCCTCTAGTAGTTCAAAATTCAAGAAATTACTACAGTAAGTATTTAGAAGTTCACAGAACAATAAGCAGTTATTCATTCATTAAATATACAGTAAACATCTATGCACCAGACTATGTCCTAGGTGGCATGACACAGGAGGAAAAATAAGTTATTTATTAGCTTAATGACCATAGGCAATCATTTCTTTAAGTCTCACTTTCCCTGTCTATAAAACAGAAGTTGCGATAAATATTAGAACATTTATCTTTCAAATTACCATATAATTTGTACTGCTAAAGGTAACTGTTTCTGAGGGGTATACAGAAAAAAATAAACATTGGATGGCAATTCCCAGGTCTTCAATTCCCACTTGTGTTCAATTCTTTCCTAAAACTAAGCTGCCTGACAATGGGTCAGGGGTTTAAGTAGAAAGGTCATGCATGTAGAGTCTCCTTTCTTGCCTCCCCTTTCACAAGTCCCTTTACCCACTTTATGAAAAGAATGGCAAACCTCTCACACATCCTAAATAGAACTGTACTACATTGGCTGGGGTATAAAAACCTCTGAAGTGCTAAACAAGAAATGGTTCATAATATTTTTATCTTCAAAGCTTCTGTAAGTAAAGTACCATAAACTGCCCACAGGAATTCCTGTTTTATACATTATTTCTGTAAAGAATGAAGCCACAAATTATCAATGGGGAACTATCTGTCATAGGATGTTCTATTTTCAGGTATATTATAGAATAGGGCACAAGTTGATTACAGTTTTCTTTAAAAAGTTTATCTTTGGGGCGCCTGGGTGGCGCAGTCGGTTAAGCATCCGACTTCAGCCACGTCACGATCTCGCGGTCCGGGAGTTTGAGCCCCGCGTCAGGCTCTGGGCTGATGGCTCAGAGCCTGGAGCCTGTTTCCGATTCTGTGTCTCCCTCTCTCTCTGCCCCTCCCCCGTTCATGCTCTGTCTCTCTCTGTCCCAAAAATAAATAAACGTTGAAAAAAAAATTAAAAAAAAAAAAAAAAGTTTATCTTTTTGGGCGCTTGGGTGGCTCAGTCAGTTAAGCATCCAACTTAGGCTCAGGTCATGATCTCACGACTTGTGGGTTCGAGCCCCGCACTGGGCTCTGTGCTGACAGCTTGGAGCCTGGAGCCTCCTTCGGATTCTGTGTCTTTCTTTCGCTCCGCCCCTCCCCTACTCATTCCCCCCATCCCCTGTGCGCTCTCTCTCTCTCTCTCTCTCTATCTCTCTCTCTCTCACATACATACACACACACACACAAGAATAAATAAACATTAAAATAAATTAAAAAAAAAAAAACAAGAGTCAACTTACTTCTTCCAAGCAATAATTTTAAACAAGGTTCCTTGCCTTCCATTTATCTACTGAGGATTAACTATCAGAACATGGTTGTCACAGAAACAAAAATCAAATCATTTATTTGAACTGAAAACTGAAGCCAGACTTTTTCTATCATGAAAGCAAATCTGATTTGTTTGACAATGAAGAACAGTTTTACCAATCGTTCCACGGCAGACAGTGGCCTTCAACTGAATGAATGATTTTGACTAAAACATGTTTAAAGCACTCAATAAAAACATTCTATTAAAAAAAAAATCCTTTTGGGGCACCTAGGTGTCTCAGTCGGTTGAGCATCCAACTTTGGCTCAGGTCATGACCTTGCGATTTGTGGGTTCAAGCCCCACGTCAGGCTCTGTGCTGACAGCTCAGAGCCTGGAACCTGCTTCAGATTCTGTGTCTCCCTCTCTCTCTGCCTGCCACCCCCCCCACTCACACTCTCTCTCCTTCAAAAATAAACATTAAAAAAATTTTTTTTAATCCTTTTGACATAGGTATATTGAAATTAACAATATTTAACTTTCCCCAGCATGTCCTAAACTGTTTAGGTAAACATACACCTATAAGTACAACACTAATAGATATGATTACTAGCTATTTAAGAAGACGTACTAAAGTCTTTTTTGGTGCATTTCCCAGAACTGCATGTCTCTAGTGACTCTAACAACTGGAAGTCAGGTGGTTTCTAATTCTTTGCTTTCAAAATAACTGAAGGACCTAATCAAATTATCAGCTGATAGACAAACAAAAATAATTTTTGATGACAGACCATTTGATGACAGAGATGCTCACACAATTAAGTGATGCTGGTGAAACAAAGCTCTGTCTACTTCCATCCAATTAATTATGTGAACACATTTCTCAGCACTTCTACCTGTCAGGAAGCAAAAGTTCCTCATTTCCTTCTCAGGTGGCAAGAACCTGTGTGCCCTTGAAGGTCCTTCTAGCCAGACTAAGAATCAAATTGACAGATTAACAGAAGAAAATCAACTTTAATAGGTATATGTATGGGGAATCCACACAGACATGGAAATTCCAAAGTCAGTCAGACAAAATGAGGTATACCTGTCATTCTGAACTAAGGAGAGGGAGTAAGGGTCTGGGATTTCAAGGAAAGGAATGTACTTCAAAGGGTGATAAGAGATGTTTGGTAATTAGATGTGTGCCCTACCATATAGATGGGTCACTTAGATAAAATTTATCTCTGTTAATAACCCTTATTCTTGGAAAGACTCTCAGTGTAGATTCTTCCATGTGGTTAGGGAAGGAAACTACTTCCTCTTGAGCCCACAGGGCCTTAAGTGTCTTCAGCTCAAAATAATCCACACGCCAAAGTGGCACATTCTGAGGGGGGCCTATCCTGAACCTCTTCACATCTCTAAAAGAAAAAAGGAAAAAAAAATTGATGCTGAACATTGTCTAACTGCAGCAATGAGCATTATTTATCCAAGAAAGGCTGAACTAAAAGAAAAAAATTAGATTAGCTTCATCCACCTCATTAAAAGATGCATTTCCAATACAATTTTTTCTTGTTTAATAATTACTCAACATTTTAATACATTTACGTTATTTTACTAACTATATGTTAATTACAATTTAATGAATAGATTTTTTTTAAGTTTTTAAATTTATTTTTTGAGAAGGAGTGTACACATGCACGTGAGCAGGAGAGGGGCACAGAGAGAAGGAGAGAGGGACTCCCAAGCAGGCTCTGCAATGTCAGCAGGGGGACCAACACAGGGCTCCATCTCATAAATGGCAAGATCACAACCTGAGCAGAAATCAAGAGTAGGACGCTTAACCAATTCAATCACTCAGGAGCCCCCTAGGAGATATCTTTAAATTCAATTTATAGGCATATATTTGTGGCAGAGACCTGATAGGGTGATTAATATGCACAAAAGACTTTAATGTATAAAAATATATTACCTTCCTAATATATGCATATTACATAAAAATATAATTCATGCACAAAAACACATTACATAAGGATAAAATCTGGCAGGAAAAAGTATAATTCAAATATAAATTTAAATAGAGAAAGGAATATAAAATTTTTCAATGTTAAGAAAAGAGTTTGGGGGCACCTCGGTGGCTCTGTCCGTTAAGCGGCCAACTACAGCTCAGGTCATGATGTCACAGTTTGTGAGTTTGAGCCCCACATCAGGCTCTGTGCTGACAGCTCAGGAGCCTGCTTTGGATTCTGTGTCTCCCTCTTCCTCTGCCCCTCTCCCACTCACTCTCTGTCTCTTTCTGTCTCTCAAAAGCTGAATAAATGTTTTAAAAAAATAATAAAAGAGCTTGTTTGTGTCCTTTTATAAATGAATGATGGTAAAAAATTTTTTTTAAATAAATGGATTATGGTAGGTATCAAAGCCGTATGGTATTTAGAGTCCACTAAGAGTGATTTATCAGTTTTATTTAGCATTATAAATCATAAATATTATCTTAGTAAGGAAACTTATTAATGTTTATTAAAACATTTTTATGAAAGTTAAAAAGTTTGAAACTAGTGGATTTGATGATATCTATGTCTCAACAAAGTGTTTTGTACATAGATAACAGCAAATCAATTAATGTTATTTTCCTTCTCCAGCTGGCTAGTGATAGAGAATAACAAATATTTTTTGCACTTAAGGACCTCACAATGCAGTAAATGAGTTAAGAATAAAAATAAATGTGGTGTGATAAGGTTATGATAAAGCTATGTACAGTGTTCAAACAAAACAGTAGAAAGTCTCCTTCCTAAAAGAGTCAAAAAAAGGGAGAGCTTTTATCTGTTTTCTCTTCCTTCCCCATTTCATCTCTCTTCTCTGTTCCTTTCCTATTAAAAAACAAAACAAAAAAACAAAACCTTCTCTTCTAAAGTCTCAGGATAAGAATTTAAAGGAAATGGTGGAGGCCAGAAAAAAAAAAAAAAAAAAAAAAAAAATGGGAGTCCAAATAGGCAAGAAGCAGGCAAGGAAGGATAGACCTGATTTTGATTATATCAGCAAACAGGAAATTTTACTCTCTCAATGGACTGAGTACATCTCCAGATCCTCAAGAATAAATGTACAAGATTCATTTTGAACTATTCTCCAAGCAAATTAGTTCTCTAATTCCAAACAAACTTCAAAGTAGTTACTCTTCCCGAATCATTTCTTTCTCTCATCTGATTTCCTTCTGCCCCAAACCAGGTAACTTTTATCATATCTCAAAAGCCTTAATTTTTCAGCTTCAGCATGGAGCCCAGCATGGGGCTCAATCTCATGACTGTGAGATCATGACCTAAGCCAAAATAAAAAGTCAGACGCTTAAACAAGAGAGCCACCCAGGCTAGGTTTTTTTTAATTCAATTTTCTCTTCCTTATCTCTTCCTTGACTCTTAC